GTAGGGAGGGAGGGAGGGAGAGAGAGAGAGAGAGAGAGAGAGAGAGAGAGAGAGAGAGGTTGAAACATCAATAATGAGAGAGAATCATTGATTGGATGCCTCCTGAAAGCCCCACACTGGGGATAGAGCCTGCAACCCAGACACGTGCCCTGACCGGGAATAGGACCATGGCCTCCTGGTTCATAGGTCAATGCTCAACCACTAGCAATGCCGGCCGGGCAGGAGCATTTTTTTTAATAAACAAAAGCCAAGTTTATTTGTTGATTTCTTGCATTTGAAGTACTCCTTGATGACACCCTTAGCCTGAGACTCTGCCATAGTCCTTAACCACCACGCAGCTGCAACCAACCACTTTATGGTGTTTCCCTCTCTGTCGACTTTACAGAGGCCACCATTCCCCTAGTTTCTTGTCGTCAACCATAATTAGGGTGATTTGATGTCAGCACAAAGAGCCTCCCCCAACTGGACATGATAGGCTCATCACAACTGGATGCAAGTACAAAGGGGGGCTTGGCCCTTCTCTGAGGCTTTGGCAGCTTCGAGAATTCCGCGCTAGGCCGTGGTGGGTGAGGGCGGTCTTCAGCACCTCTTGCAGAGCAGTATTAACGTCCACTACACGCCCAGCAGCCATGCCTTCCTCGGCCATGGCAGCGGGTTATGGGTAGAGCCGAATCTTGACCGCACCCAAGCTTCCGCCTCTGCGTAACTCCGCGGCGACAGGGGAAGAGGAGCATTTTTTGACTCCACTCCCACCCCTACCACTTGTCCCCAGCGGCGAGCAGGACTCAGAGCCATACTCTGGGAGCATGGCCACAAACAGTGACATCCAGATCCAAATATAAAGCTCTGCTCGGGTCACACACAAAGAGGAGCCTCAAGGCCCTTCTCACAGGGCTGCTGCCCCTGCGCTCCCCCATCCCCTCCCTGTGTGACAGGGGCCCTCCTAGGTCAGAGCTCAGGCCTGTTCCCTTTGGGTGGGAGGTTCGTCTTAAATAGTGGAGGATCCTTCTTGGCTCCTCGTGTTCCTCATTCGGGCTCTGCCTTCTGCTCACACAGCAACCACTTTGTGTGGGCGCCGTGGGGATGGCAAGGCATTGGTGTTGGACCAAGCAAGTGCAAGCCCTGCCCTGCGGGCCTTCCAGCCTATAACGTAAGGCTGGATTTAGTCAGCACCCAGGAGGCCTGGGTGAGCGCCCCAGCCTACCTCGCACCCTACCCTGCCAGCCTATAATTCCAGACGCTCTGCGTCTCCTGGGAGAGTGTCTTTCCCTCGCCCCGGGCTGGCCAGGGGTAGGTGGGCCTTGTTGGAACCTCCATCCCCCTTTGCATAAGCAGGTCTGGCCACATGTCACCTGAGAAGGCGGGAGCTCTCCTCCTCTCTTCACTCTGTCCCCTGAGCATCTGGAGGGGACCCTTTCTGATTCGTAAAAGCCAGTGTCTGCTCAGCCTGAGAACCACCCTGCTGGGGCCAGCCTCTGGGTCCAGCCCAGGGGGGTGTCCCGGGGCCATTTCTCCCCAGAACATCCTCCTCCTTCTTTCCTCTGGCTGACATTTTCTCTAGATTCCCTCCCACTGACAAAGGTCTGGGCAGAGCTTCAGAGTCAGAATAGCCCTAGTCCAGTCCAGCCTCCCCACCTACTCTCCTAGGACCAGGGCATAGCACTTAATCTCCCCGAGCCTTGGTGCCCTCGTCTGTGAAGTGGGCAGAAAGCACTGAGGGTAGAGCAATGAGTGGGCCATACGCTGGGATGTGTCTCAAGCCCCAGACTGGCCCATGGGAGAGCCAAGCTAGGAGACCTACCTGGGTGCTGAGTTGGGTCAAAGTTTCCTTGCCCTGCCTGCAGCTTCCTTGTCACTGCTGTTTGATGACAGTGGGGCTGGGGCCAGGATTCTCGCCTGGCTCCTGGCACAGCAGGTACATTTATGATTTATGCTGATGTGGTGTGTACCAGGGCAAGGGAGCCTACAACCGAGGTACATGCCCTTGATCAGGAATCAAACCCAAGACCCTTTGGTCTGAGGGCTGATGCCCTAACTACTGAGCAAAACCGGCCAGGGCAAGAAGTATTGTAATGGGGAATTATAGGCCACACATCTTAAAAGAAGTAGAACCCTCTGAGACCAGGATAGAGGGCGCCCTGGGCACTTTCATGGGCTTATTTGGACCCTCTGTGCCCTCATGATGCCCCTGGTCACCATGGCCAGCCCCCATTAGAGGACACCACACCTTCCACCTCAGACAGTGCAGAGGGGCCAGAAGCGAGGGCCCACTTGGCTCCAGGACAAGAGGGCAGTAGGAGATGAGGCGTGCAAACAAACCCTCGGTAAACAGGCAAACAAATGTCACCATGGCAACATTGAACTCAGACCAAAAAGATGAGCAGGTGCTGGAGGAAGAGCCTTTGGGGTAAGGACAGAGGTGGAAAGTTCTGGAGGCGGGAAATCCGATGCTTCAGGGAATGTGCACGGTGGGGCGGAGGCGGGGGATGGAGGAAATGGCAGGGTGGGTGCGAGGTAGGCTTGGGCGCTCACCCAGGCCTCCTGGGTGCGGACTAAACACATAGAGTCTGTTCTAAGTTGATAGGAGGCCCCGGGACAGCCATAAGTAGCAGTGACACAATTCATCAGACCATCAGAGATCAGTCTGACGGTGTCAGGAGTGAGGGAGAGCAGGGGCCATGGAGGGGCCAGGCCATCACGCCGGTGAGAGTGAAGGGTTCTGGAGGTGAGAGGAGCAGGTCACTTCCCGGGAATATTGGGAGGGCAGAGTGACAGACAGAGCCACAGCACTGGTTAGCTTTTTGTACCCGAGGCAGGGATCAGACGTCCCTAACAAGCATCGTGTTTGTTCAACAAACTGACCTTTGTTCTTCTCTTGGACCAGGAGAAGGTCTGCATGGGACGCCCAGAGGAGGACAGGGCCAGTCTGTCCAAGCCCTCCCTCCTGCCGGGGTCACTTTGGGCAGGGCCTTCGTTCCTGCTGGGGGCCCCAGTGCTGGACGCTCAGCACCTCTCCCTGGCCTCACCCCCTTGCCTCTCTCCGCAGACTCGCCTGCAGGCCGGCGTGGGCTATGGGAACACCCTCAGCTGCATCCGCATGGTGTACAGGAAGGAGAGTGTAAGTGCCCCTTGGGCGGGCGGGCGGGCGGGCGCCGGAGCCACACCCACCAGGGCCTCCCACAGAATGGGGTGAAGCCCATCCAGGCCTGGGGACGTGGCCACAGCCCTGCCACCAGCAGGTTGGGTGGAGGCCCGTCTGTTCCCACTCATCACATTTAGCTCCATTTTCCCTGACCAGCTCACACCACCTAACCCTGCCACCTAGTGTGATGCTATGGTTTTGTATAACTGCTTTGGAGGAATTCACCACAGTGTGGAAAATTCCTGCAAGAAACAGGGAGACCTGTCAGGTTTTCAAAACCGAGTGAGTGGCTGGTACCATGTGCTCACAGGCTTCCTTTCATCCAGCGCTGGAGCCAGGCGCTCCGCCGTCACACGCCCACGGCTGGCTTGAACCACAGCTCGGGGCCCTGGGACCCAAGATCTTTCTTTGCAAATGGGGAAAGGCTGAATAATGTTTTATAGAGGATGCATCAGGTGCCCTTCTTGAGAATTATCGGATGCTTTAGGGAGACTATCTGAGGCCTCTTTTGGGGGGATTTAAAATAAACTGTAAAATTTAGGATGACATGACCTGTTGATTTAAAGCAATGGCCAGGTGTTAGCCCCATGGCAATCCCAGGCTTGTCTTCGAGTCACCAGAAATGTGGCCCCATTGTTGGCCACTGTCCCCGTGGGACATGGCCTGGAGCTGGGGGGCCTCTGCCCACAACTGGAGCTTCTCCTCAGATCAAGTGTGTCCTGTGTCAGGGTGTTGTTCTATCTCTCTGATAGGCTGCTTTAGAACTGGGTGAGTCCTACCAACCTGGTACTAACTGTTCCAGGGTAATGCGCAATCCCTCAGTGCCCGGGGAGTGGTTGTTGATTCTCCCTGTTGGCACATGTCCCCCACGTGCCTGCCAGCCAGTGTGAGCTCCATGGTTTCTGTGGGGACCGTGGATGTTCCTCTGAGACACAGCAGCTCAGGGCTTAGCAATGCCCCAGGTGACCTGAGGAAGAGGGGAAGCAGGGCATGTGTGTGTGCGTGTGTGTGTGTGTGTCTGCTGCATGTGTGAGCAAACGTGCATGTGTGAGGTGTCCTATCTCTGGCACATAAGGTGCAGGCACGCGTTTGGGATTAGCAGGTCTTCATGAGGCCTGGGTTTGTGCGGCGGCTTCCAGGATTTTCACCTTGGGCGTGGGGTGGGGCTCAGATGCCGCGCTGACTCCTCCGAGGATATGGGATTTCCCGTGTCTGCAGAGCAGCTGTGCTGTTCACCGAGCTTACAGTCTGAAGGACCTTCTCCGCAGCCTCCAGTGTCCTGCCTGCGTGCAGAAGCCTTTCCATGCTGTTTTTCCCTGGGTTCTTTCCTTGAGCTCTTCTTCTGAGAGACACCCCTGCTCAGGGGCACCCATCTGCAGGCTGGCCCAGGTGTCCCTGGGGGCTGTGGCACCTCTTCTTAGTCCCTCACCACAGCATAGCACATTACAGTTTCACTAGAGGCCTGGTACATGAAATTCCTGCATGGGGGTGGGGGGTCTCCTCAGCCCAGCCTGCACCCTCTCCAATCTGGGACCCCTTGGGGGTTGTCCAACCCCCAGGGATTGGGCCTAAACCAGCAGTCAGACATCCCTTTCACAATCCTGGACCACTGGCTACTAATTACTCACCTGCCTGCCTGCCTGGTTGCCCCATGCAGCCTGCTGTTCAGTTGTCCCTCACTAACGCCCCTGCTGGCCTGGTTGTAGGCAGCCATCTTGTGAGGATGTGACAGTCAATTTGCACATTACCGATTTATTATATAGGCTTTGTCCATCCAGATTCACCCCTCCCCCACTCCGCCCCAGACCCTGAACTCAGGTAAACTTGCCTTCTTATTGTTGGGTCCAGGGCCTGGCACGTGTGTGGCAAGTGCCCAGAGAATGCTTCATGGGAGTGGCAATGAGGAGGGTGTGTGTGATGCTTGGCAAGCCCACTTACCCACTAGGGCTCCACAGACCCCTCGGACACTGCCTAAGACAACTGCCAGTCCCTTCCTGTCACAGCATCCAGGGGCAAATACTGGTTACAGGCCCAGGACACACCCTCTGTCAACAAGACTTTACGCAGAAGCTGGTTTCTCCTCAGGGCAGGAATGTCCTCACCACCATCTCCTTCCACATTTGCATCTGCCTGTGTCCTCTTCACTGGCACATGGATTTATGTCTCCCCACCAGCCTGCGGGCGGGCGGGTCTGTGCCCCGGACAGTGTGGGGAGCTTGGCACCGACTGCAGTTCTCACACTGCCTCTCCCGGTTTCCCCACAGGTGTTCGGCTTCTTCAAGGGCATGTCCTTCCCCCTGGCCAGCATCGCCGTGTACAACTCGGTGGTGTTTGGGGTCTTCAGTAACACGCAGAGGTTCCTCAGCCAGCTCCACAGCAGGGAGCCTGAGGCCAGCCCGCCCCACACCCTGTCAGATCTGCTCCTGGCCAGCATGGTGGCCGGCGTGGTGTCCGTCGGACTGGGCACACCTGTGGACCTCATCAAGATCCGCCTGCAGATGCAAACACAGACATTTCGGGAAAGTAAGAGGCCTGGGAGGGGCCTGGTGTCTGGGCACCTGTGACCCCCTCCTCATTTGCCAGATTTGGGGTGCAGGGATAGCATTCTTTCTATTGAGCAGGCCATCTATGTGGTCATGTAATAGTCTGTCATTATTATTCCTTTACCTAGATAGGAACTCTCACTGGTTACATATTTACCACATGCTGGGCACTGCTGAGAGCTCTGCTTGTGTTCTCTTAATTCGTCTTTATGGCCATTCTGTGAGGCAGATGCTGTTACCCTTTCCATTTACAGAGGAGAAAACTGAGGCTCCCAGAGGTCAAGGCACTAATTCGGGGACACGATTAATCTCTGTGAGTGAGGACCAGCTACACAATTTGCAGCGCCCAGTGAGAAGGGAAAATGTGGGATCCTTGTTCAAAGTCATTAAGAATTGAAAAAGGGTAACAGCAGAGCAGTAAGCCAGGCATGGGGCATAGGTCTCCAAGCCACACCTGCCCATGTACCTGTGCCTCGCACCCAGACAGGCCGCAGGGGCGTGAGGGGACTGCTGCTCTCCTCGCCCCTGACACTCCAGTGAAAGCTTGTTTCTCGGTGTGCCCTGTGGCCACTCCTGCACCAGTCACTTCCTCCTGCTGAGAGGCTCCCACATCTTCTCCGGGGAGTGGTTCTGACCAAGGAGGAGGGGAGGTAGCAGGAGGCACTTCCTGTGCTGAGGAGAAGGTGCCGGCTCTAGAAGGATGAGCTGGGGGTCTTAGAAGACAAATTTCAGCACCTCGGAGTTTGGGTCTTGGCTCTGATTTCACTCTGTCTCCTCAGGGAAGGTACTGCCCCTCCCGAGGCCTCAGCCTCCCGCTCTGTATAACGGGAGGGCTGGATTCGTGACCCTTCCTGTCACCTCAGGCATCCAACGGGGCTGACTGCCCCCGTGGAGAAGACCCCTCTCCCCGGACCCTGTGGACTCCGTGCGCCCACTGACTGAGCTCCCAGAGCTGGCATAGGAGCAGCCCAGCCAGCGGGTCTTCAGCCTGCCCTCCCTGCCCAGCGGGAGGGTGCCGGGACTGGCCTTGGACTGTTCCTCAGGAACCCTTGAGGCCAGAGGGAGGAAACTCAGACTCATTGGGACCAGGGAGGTAACAGAAGTGAGCGGAGAATGAAACCTCTTCCACTGGTTGCTACCCATAGCCCTCCTAGCCTATGTTTCATTTTTCCTCTTTCCATTTAACACGGACAGATGTCCTGCCCTTTCCACATCACTCTGCTGTTAGAAAGGCAGTGGCTGAAGCGCGTGCATCAGCTTGCGCACCTGGAGGCAGTAGGGAGTGGTGGGCCCACATCCTTTCCGAGGGAGTGGCTAGAATCCTGCTGACAGTTGCCATGGGTCCTGGATCTTTTGATTTTTAAGAGACAGCAGAAAGCTGGATTTATCTGTCGGGTCTTTCAATTGGAAATTATTAGATAATTCAATTAAAAACAAAGCCAAACACAACATGACACCGCACAGCTCAAAGCACAGTGCAGGCGGGGGCTGGCTGCAAGTTGTGGCCGCTGCTCTGGGTCAGGCCCGCTCTGCATGGTGACTGGGCTGAGAGGGGTGTTTCCAGCAGCCTTGAACAGGGTTTGTGGGATTGCTCATGGCTTGTGGCATTACCCCTGAATTGCCCATGCACTTCCTGGGTGGTGACACTGAGCCATGGGAGACTACGCCCATGTGCCAAAGCCAAGTGCCAGAAGCATCCGGCTTCTCTGCAGCTCAGGTCACGGCTCGACTGATTTGCAAATATAAAGCCGGTGGTTCTATTAAAGCCTGATTGTCCATTGGTGGTGACCCGTGGCTGAAAATGCAGAGCATGGACTATAGAGGGAGAAGATGCCCATCCTCCCAAATGCAATCCCTGGGTTATTTTTGTAAAATGTATTTTAATTGATTTCAGAGAGGAAGGGAGGGAGAGAGGAACATGAATGATACGAGAGAAATCATTGATTGGCGGCCTCCTGCACAACCCCTACTGGGGATCGAGCCAGCAACCCAGGCATGTGCCCTGACCGGAAATTGAACCATGCATGACCTCCTGGTTCATAGGCTGATGCTCAACCACTGAGCCACACCATCTGGGCTACAATCACTGTTAACACACATTTCCTTTTCCTTTTCTGTACACATAGATTAAATATTTTAGGAGGTTATACTCATATTACCTAGGCAGTTTCATATTCTGTTTTTAGCTCAACATTATAACAAATATTTTTGTTATTAAAATAGCATATAAATTATTTTAAAATAGATGGATAATATTTTTAAAGGATGTGCAATATTCCAGCAAATAGACATGCGCATGCAAAGACACACACATACACACACACTGAGAAGACTGATGCGTGTGGTCACAATTTAGTTTCTGGAGCTAGACTACCTGCTTCTAATTCTCTGCCAGTGTCAAGAAACTTTGGACGCCTCACCTAATGCTGCCAAGTCTCAGGTTACTCATTTGCAAAGCAGGCATAATAGCAGCTATTTTGCATCCGGGATGGAATGGGATAATGTTATACATGAAGGTCCTAGCACACTGAAAAGTTGAAACCAGTGCTAGCTATGATTTAGTAAACTTATTAACAGTCATTCTAGTGATGAACATTTAGGGGGTTTACAGTTTTTCCTCTTCTAACAATAGTGATGTCATCAGCAAACTTTTCCATAAAGAATTGCCTTTATTTAGGATTACTTCCCTAAATGTGTGGGCTCTTTGATTCCTGAGAGGGTCAAAGGCTATGGTCATTTTTAAGATTCGTGGTACATGTGAAATTGGTATACAGAAGGGCTTTGCCAGCTCACATTTGGGGTTGCTGGAGGTCAGAGAGAGTTTCCATTGGCACTGACTGCCATTGCGTCCAGAACAGCAGTATCCCTCATAAACTCTTCCTCCTGGGCCTCTGCCACTTGGCAAACAAGGAAGAGCTGGCCTGAGTTCAGTGGGACGTGGCCTTGACAGTGGGCACCTGTAAAGGGACCCTCCCTTTTAGAGCCATCATTACCCTTTGCACAGTCATGAGCCCCACGGGGAGCCCTGCTGGCCAAGTCCCAGCCTGGAGGCCGATGGCCAACAGTACTCATTCCTCCCCCATCTGGTCTGTGTTTTCAGTAAGAGCCTAATCAATATGCAGATCAGAAAGCCCTCAATACCACCAGAGGGCAGATTTTGGGGGGTTAGAAGAGGCCTGGGCATTAACTCTGTGCTGGCCATCCTGGTGACTTCCCCAGGCCCAGCAGGAGGCACCGGGCTGACTGCCACATCTGTTTGAGTTCACTCTGACTCATTCATTCACAGGCACTTCCCATCCCTGCTCTGAGCCAAACGCAGCAGGTAAATCAGAGGCATCAGGCCACAGCCCTGCCTTCAGGGAGTGCAGCCTGGTGGGAAGTCAGATGTATAGAATGAGCAGGGCCCGTCGAGACACTAGAACCTTGGAGCCTGGTGCTGTAGATCAGGAGGCTCCAGAGAGGAAGTGGTTGTTGACTGGGTCTTTGAATACTGGCTAGGATTTAGAGATGGGGTATGGACAAGGAGAGGTGTCTCAGTCAG